CGTATTAGACCAAATAGGGCTGGGATACCTCTGGACAAAAGCACATGAAAATGACATAGGAATCTTGAACATTATCAAACAAAGACTGAAAGACATCGAATTACAAAGATGGGTAAGTGACGTAAACAATGACGTAAGAAAAGACGCCAACCAAAAAACAAACTAAGAACCTTCCGAAAATTTAAAACAATAGAAAATTATAAATGTGAAGATTATCTCCATCAGGTCACCAACGTCCATCACCGGATAACTCTAGCTAAACTCCGTCTAAGTAATCACAAATTCTCCGACTCTGCATGTGAAAGGGGCGGGGATGCTCGTCGTCTCACTTAGGGGTGTAAATTTTGGATTTTGGTCTCATTTAGGGTGTTCTGGGCAGAACATTCACGGCTCATTACAAATGCAAGAATTCAGAGATGAATCTGAAATCTACGACTGCCAATGGCTGGCTTGACTGTAAAACATTTTAAGGCAACATTTTTCTACAGTGTTACAGTGTAAAGAAAATTGCTTTCAGTGTTATCAAGCAAAATATATAAAGAGCCTTGAGAAATCTGACAATGAATAGGACATACTAATAACAATAATTTTCAATGAAATTTTTGGAACTGGGTAAAAATATTGATAAGTACGTAGTAATTAATTGATAGCGGATGACAAATCGTCCATTGCAGCACTATAAAATCATTATCGTTACTGTGAAATTACAGCATGTTTCACATAATAGTATTGGCAAATTCACAAATATATACACATTTAGAGCTCTCATTAAGCAGTATCATCAAATATAAAATTTCTCAGCTAACTACCCCCATCCCCCAGAGGCCACATGTGTCAAGATACCTATAATCATGGCATATACGCCACTTGCACATCTCCCATAATGCACCTAGTTATTTACCCTAAGCACTGTTTTCAATTTCTCTTGGGATGGCTGCAATGAAAAACCAAGGTTATGCAAAATTTTGCGGGGGTAAATAAGGTGCATTATGGGAGATGTACAAGTGGCGTATGGTCCAACGTTCAAATTTAAAATTGAATATGTATACGAAGAAGCACGAATTTACTATAACCCTTTTCTTTCCTGTATGAATAAAAACATATCGTATAGCTTCCAGCTGGGGCAATAAAATGAATAAATTCGATCGGGCAAAATACTAAAGACACGAAATTTACTCAATGTTACGTAATGAATGTCTGATGTCAAATGTGTCTTCATTGCACATCGGCAAACAAACCACACGTGAAACCATAAAAAAAATAGGGATAAATCGATTCTTACCTATCAGAAATGCTAACAAACAGGTCGAAGGCAAGCTCCACTCTGATCTCAACTGATCTGATCTCACCAGGTCAGTGAGCATTGAAGGTTTATGGTAGAAACTGTAAATTGTGTACATTCTTTGTTAGCGTTATCAAATAATTCTCACGTACGACAGACAATCATTGAGCATTAATGTATCAACACCAAGAAATATAATGGCGTTATTTTCACTTACCAAAAAATCGACCACACAGATGAAATGCACGCGTGAATGAAAGAGATCAAAGTATTCAAATAAAGCCACTCCTTCTTCGAAGAAAGACCTGGCGGCAGAGTGAAAGTAGCTTTACCGAGGAAATATAACCCACGGAAAGCTAGAAATGAAATCAGAACCACTAACAAATAGGAAAAACTGGTATCCTGAGGCCCGTTTGGAGCAGAAAAATGAGGCAGGACCCGCGTCATGTCTGGCGATTTTTGGCCGGAAGACACGAGACAGAAAAGAGTTAAAATGTATGTAAATACAGTTTTGGCATCTGTTTGATGTGCACTTTGCATTGACAGTCACGCAATCTTTCGTGACGGATGTAACTGTTCCTTGCACGCAGAGTCGGACCTCTACAGAGCTTTTAAAATGACAGCAAATTATTCAAAATGACAAAGTATTTGTTTCAACTTTATTCATGTTTTCAGGCATAGCTTTCTTTTCAATAAGATGCTACGCTACGCCGCGCATGCCTACATAAGTGGCGTTGACATCACTTCCCACGTGCAGTCGAGCCCAGAGTCGAGCGCGAAACTTAACTGATCTAAACCGTCCGGCTTTTTCCGCATTCCTACCTTGATGCGCCTGTTAAGCAGGCTGTTGGCACGCGATTACATTATTTATTATCGTAAATGCTCGAATTAGCGCCCAGCTTCAAATAATTGCAACGCTTCGAATTAGCGCCCCTCCTAAGGCTTAAAATTTGGAATAAGCGCACCCTTCAAATAAGCGTCCCCCCCCCGCTTCCCTCCTAGAATAAACGAGGTTCAGTACTCGGTACGATATAAGAGACGTAAAGGGTACTTTTAATGAATGTGACACTCGTAATAGTACAAAATTAATTTCCTTCAAAGTCGTACGGGTTTGCTTCTCATCTCCTCGATAGACGAAATATCCATGTGAGCACAAAATTGCTTCACTTTATTAAGTTCCTCGTAAAACTTTGCTCCCAAACGCCGGCTTCTTTGTTTCTGCCTTAAAAGTTCCTGGAATTACAAGAGGCCATTTTCAAGTTTCCTGCTTCCATTGACTTCAACCACCGCCTTATTACAGAATTTATTCGATTAACCGCACTGGGCGCTTATTAAATTTTTGGACCTCGCGAGTGGGCGCTTATTCGAGGCTGAGCGCTTATTAAATTTTCACCATTTTCAGCAAGTGAAGTATGTGTATTTTGCAAAAAAAAACAATAAATGCTAATAACAAAACGCGAAGAAGTAACAAAGCAAGGTTTCTGTAAAATACTCTGAAGAAAACTCCGTCCTAGGGGAAGTCTCTTATTAGGACTCATTCATTCAAGCGGGTGGGGTGGGGGTGAGCGCTTATTTGAGTTTGATTGGGAGGAGGAGGGGTGGACGCTTATTCGAGGCTGGGCGCTTAATAACTTTTTCTGCCTTTAGGATGGGTGCGTATTCGAGGTGGGCGCTAATTCGAGGTTGGGCGCTTATTCCGAATAAACACGGTATCTTCATGGGCTTGTATAAATGTAAACACGAGGAAGGAAAGTTCTCTGGTAGCATGTCCAACTAGCTTGCTACTCTATAGCGTTTGCTATAACGTGTTTTTGAATTTTGATGTGTTTCAATTGGGTTATATAGACTGATAGTGTCATTTTGAGGCCAAAAATTGATAAACGAAATAAGTGCTCCAGTTCGAATAAGCCCCC